CCGTGAGCGGCAAAACGGTGGTGGATGCGGGACTGTGCGCCTGTGATACCGGCCCGCTTGAGCCAGACGCCACAGGCTGCGAGGAAGTGAAGGTAGTGCCCTGGGTCGCCGCCGGCGCATTAGCATGAAGCGAAAGGTCGACCCTGCGGTTCGGGGCGATGTGAGGGCGTACGGTGAAGATTTCTTCGATAGAGATCTCTTCGGCCGTCGTCGCTGATGCTTCCACTGCTGGAGCCGAAGGAACTTCGACGGCACGCTCCTTCCCAGCACGGCGGGGGATCCGGACCGTGAAGATCTTCTCTCCGTCGTCCTGAGTGCTGGCATTGACGGGAGGGTGCGCTTTGGATGCCGATGGCACATGAGAATGAGGCTGCGTTCGAACTACCTCTTCCTCCTTGCCCGGCAGCTTGACACGATAGCCCTGCCCCATACCAGGACGTGGCTTCAGGGCCACATCGAAATAGAGGAAGGCATCATGCTGCTTCGTCCAAACCCGCTCTGGCTTCATTGCATACCACGGCCTGTTGGTAGGAGCGAATGGCGGAGCCGGACGGAAGCCTGTCGGCGGGGGCGTACCACCGCGTCCAAAACCACGGCCCCGCGGAACGAATGTTCCTCGTCCACGGAAACCGAATCCACGTTGGAACGACCCGTGGGGCGGGGTTTGCTGCTGCTGCCTCTCCTGCTCTCGCTGTGCCCGGCGCTGTTCCTCACGCCGTTTCAGCTCCTCAAAGCCATCGTGACCCCAAGGCTTGTCAATTGGAGGGACATCGGCGGCAGCACCATGGTCACCATCCTCGCTATCTTGTCCATGCGCGCCAGGTCGTCCAGGCGCGAAGCCTCGACCACCTCGCCCACGCATAGCGAAGGCACCCCGGCTGCGGCCTCGGGACTGCCAGCGGCCCCGCCACCACCCACTGAGACTACGCAAGTCTTTATCCAGTAGTCGGTCATCGTGTCCCCAAAACTCACCGACCTTCGGGACGAACGACGGGTCCGTCTCCAAGCGCTGCTGATAGGCCTGACGCGCTGACTGACCCTTGGGGCGGCTGAAGGATGGCTCCCTAGGACTGTACACAGATGTGGACGCCTTTATTGACTCAGTCTCCGTTACGTGCTCTTGGTCGTCTGACTGAGATGCTGGCGCAGCAGGGGCGACGGGGGTGGTAGAGATAGGCCGATTCGTTGGCTGCTTCTTGGGTTTGCGCGCTCGTGGTGGATGCGGCGGCGGAGCAGGCTGGGAGAGGGCATGATGGTCCAGGTCGGCGAAGTCGATGACAGGGAGGTCCTCCGCGTCATTGGCATTCTCGTTCGCGACCATCTCTGCCCAATTCGAAGGAGCGACGAAAGGACCCGAGTCACCTGCGATCGCCGCGGGCTTCACAGCAATTCCGTCCAGATTCGCGCGGTCATGCACGTCCAAAGACGGAGGGCTCTGGGTCGTACTAGGGGTAACAACTTCAGAGTGGCCGCTGAGGTGACCGTCATCAGAGACTGACTCTGTTTCCGACTCCGAGTCGATAGAGGACGCATCGTCGTCGTCGGTCTCTGTGTCAGAGTCAGCCTCCCGCACAAACTCTTCGTCACTGTCGACCCCGTTCCTAGCGCGCCCACGTCTCCGGACCACGCGTGTCTTCTTGGACTGCGGACGAGAGTCAGTGATTTCTGATGATTTTTCGGATTTTGCAGAAGGAATAGTGATAGGTGCGGGCATCACGAGGTATCTGTAGAAGAGATGAAGACGAACGTGAATGAGGATGACACTCGGAGCGGTGCAAGCGATGGCAAATTCGTACTTGACTAGGCGAGATTACAATTGTCGGTTACGCAACCAGTACGGACGGAGTTGGAGAACGGCCAAGAAAGCTTGTAGATGAGAGTTGATGTGAACAGCAGGATATAAAACGGAAAATCCGGAGAGCGAGGGGGACGATGAGCGGAGAACGTGAGGGACGGCGAGCACGATGGAGGAGGATGTCACAAACCCAGGGGCGCTGCCATAGCTTAGTCAGCGGCTCCCAGGCAAGGGAGCCACTCACAGACGCGGGATCGGTGCCCGAGCTGACTCGACCAGTCATTCTCTCTTGTTCTGCTTCGTAACACGGTTTGATCGCGTTGCACACCTGTCTCATCACTTGGCCTCGAAAAATATTGCTATGCATTGTAACTCGCTACCTTTTGTTTCTCTTGCACCTTCAATGGCGTTATCGACGCGGGTAGTCATGAAAGAACGATTGTACCAACTCCGCGGTCGGAAGCATTCCAAGCCACCTATCAGTTTTTCTCTTATGGACACGTTGCCGCAGACAATGAGATGCTCTCGGGACACAGAAACTCAGGGAAAGCCTTCGTCAATGATTTTCTATCGTCGGTTTTCCACGCGGTTTCGTCGACAACAGCTTCCCCTTCTGTCGTGGACTATTCCGTTCCTAACGTGCAGTTGCGGATACCGATTTGCGGGATTTGAGTAGCAAGTATGATGACTTCGAGTGCGGTATACATGTGGGTCCGCACAGGTACTGTGGGGAATGTACATCTTCATACAAATCAATTACCAGCATTCTGTTTCTAGCATGATCTGTGGCAACTTCATTTCGCAGTATTTGCCGGCAGTTCGCCCTGACAAAATTTTGGGGCTATGCCGCGCCACCTCACCCCCAACCCACTAACGAGTTCGTCAGACTTCCGATCACCGTGTACGCCTTGCCCCGAGTGTTGCTCCTACCACATGCCAACACGTGATATGGCGGAAGGGCTGTGCGCAGAAATCGATTGTCGTCAGCAGGACTATGCAGAGCAAAGTCAAAAAGTTGGGTCTTGAAACACCACACACACCGGATTGTGCACAGTTTTGCCAAGTACAAACAACGTGTGGTGCACGAAGTACACGGTTGCTATTTCCATGCCCTGCGTTCAGCTTGTCCCGGACTAAGTGAACTAGGTCCTGCCCACGGTATCCTCTCCGGTCAGCGAATTATGGTGATCTCGGTCAGACAATATGTAACTACAAATTCTCATGAACGTTGAGTGTACAACCACCATTCCAGTATATCTTGACTGCGCCCAACAAGTCAACAATTGTGACAACCCCATCGATGCCCCAGTAGCTCACACATGTCCTTGCCATTGGACAAGGCAGCAGTCGTCTCGACTACACTCGAAGCGATCCTTTATGGTGAGCGAAGTGCAATCACTTTCACGTAGGGGAGCAGCAACTCAATCTCATACAGGGTTTTCTGTGATGATGTTCGGATTGACGATGAAGGTTCTCGTAGGCAATGAAAGAGGCCGGCAAGTCAACAAACTCCTGTTAACGGTTTCATGCCTTCTTTTCGTCTTCAGTACCATGGTCGGTTCTGTTATGAAGACTACCCACCAATTACTGCAGACTGATCACTGCGCTCACATCCCCCCATCTGCCCTTAGCATACAGCGGTCAATGCGAAGCGCGTCGAGAATGGTCTTGTAACTTTCCGGGACACATTCCCCGGTGGACCGACCGCCTTTTTCTCCCAGCCAGGCGAATTTTCGTTCCTTCTCAAGAACGCCGTGTATATGGCACAGACGTTAACCGGCGACGGATTCCTGGTACGCATACCTGTATACTTTCTCAAGGTCGTCTCTTGACGAGAAATATCACTACCAGATATATCGTTGCTATATGGTGTGGCGAAATGTCTGGGTCATCGTTTTCCCCCTTCTAGTGTGGCTCGGCTTTCTTGGTAATCTATTTCAAGAACATGCTATGCATAAAATTTCTCACCATCACGGTCAGCCTCAGGCATCATGGCACTGTACGCAGCCTCCAGAGTCCCCTTGATTGGCCAGGGGCACAGTGTTTTTGAAAAGAACGTCGGACAATGGATTACTGCGTTCTACTCATTAACACTAGCAGCTAATCTGGTCGCAACTGGTCTGTCTTGGTCGTGCATGCATCTGCGACATCCCACTAACAAACGAAACCGGTCACCCATTAGGCTTACTGGCGTACAAGATTTGGAGAGTAGACAGGCGCGTTGCCCATGTGCGACAAGGCTCTATGATGCCCATCGTGCACATCATCGTGGACGTGGGTGCACTCTACTCGGCAATGCTTATTTCCGCGCTCGCCTGTTTCGTCAATGATTCCAATGGCCAGTACATCATATTGGACATAGTACGTAAGGCCTCTCTTGTTTTAAAGTGTAATTGACATGTTCTTCCAACCGAACAGGCGACACCCATTATTTCCATCACATTCTACATGGTCATTCTCCGAGTTGGCATGGCCGCGGGACGAGTCAAGTCCAGCCAAGGAACTATACATCTAGAGTCGCTGCGTAGCGCAGCTAGAGAGTCCACCCGACGGAGCTACATTACGGACCCAATGAGAGTGCATGTCACCCAGCAGACGGAGCATCATCACGATGGCGGATCCGAAGTGGGAGACTCTGTTATTTTCGAAGGGCAAGAGAAGGCATAGTGCGTAGCGCGTAATTAATCTAGAGTTACCTCTCGTTGCGTATTCCATGTACGTACAGCCTTGGACTTCTGAATCGGACAATTGATACGGATCCTGGATACAAGCCATGGCGTGACGGACCAAGAACGACTCTCAGGAATTCCGGGGTTGCATGACTTGATCCGGAAATTCTGACTTCCGCTGCAGGCCTGTGGTGCAGAGAATATGGAGCAAGCGATGATTGCCATTCCAACATTTCTCGTACACATTACAGTGGCAAAGTCAACATTGCAATGTGAAAGTCGAAAGTACACAGTACACAGAACCACTTCTGCGTAACATCCAAGTATCACTACCGGTTTACATACTGCAGGAAAGTTTCGGGAGCACGGTTAGCAAAAAACTCGCACCCGTCCTGGTGCTCATTCTTGTTTTCTGCCGTTCCACATTAATGTCGAAGCGACAGGGACAACAGGTGCTGTCTGACGACAACAGTGCCGAATTGAGCATCTTTCCGTCTCTTTGTCGATGGGAATGTCCGGCGCCACCTCAGTCATAAGGCGAGATGGCCGAGCGGTCTAAGGCGCCAGACTAAGGCTTAGCAGTGTTTCCTTCTGCTTTGACATCTGGTCCGAAAGGGCGTGGGTTCGAATCCCACTCTCGTCATAATGGGTCTGGAGTAATTTTGATTCTTTTTCTCGCATTGGGAACTGCAGGCATCTTTTGCGTAATTATATGATGGAAGAATATGTCTCCATCTAGATTGGTGTCGCGAATTTTCTGTATGATGTGTAGTTGATGTTGAACGAGAGACCGATCCCGCCGGCGATCACTCGGCAACTACCGTAGCTGCCATTTTCCGACCTGAGATTCTGTGGAGGACAGTCACAAAACTGCTATTGCACTCACAATCTACTCGCCGGCGTCGTCATTCTACTATCAAGCCCTCAGAAAAACACTCACGAGTTGACCAGCGATGGACGTCTCCGATATTCTCGCTGCTCACGCAGCCAAACAGTATGTTATGCAGTGAACTCGTTCGGAATCAGTCTTTTAACATGGTCGTAGAAAAGCCGTTGAGGTCGAGAAGGACATTCCTCTACAGATAGATGCTGGCTTCCTCACAGTAACCGACTTGAACCCAGTAGATGCTGAGAGCTACGAGTGAGTCCGAAGTTACAGCATCCTGCGCTCGGCCTCTCACATTTCTCCTATAGCACAAATCTCGAAGACTACCTCATGTCCACCGCCCGCGATGGCGTCCAAGCACTCATCGGCGCCCTCTTCTCTCTCCCTACCGCTCCCTCCCCCGACGGCCCCCTCGCACAGCTCCCGCCTCCGACGACGCAGCTCCCACGCGCAAAGTCGCTGCCTAAGCCGAAGCCGCCGACCAAGTGGGAGCAGTTTGCGAAGGCGAAGGGCATTCAGCACAAGCAGCGCGACAAGAAGGAGTGGGATGAGGAGCGGCAGGAGTGGGTTGACCGCTGGGGTTGGAAGGGCGCAAACAAGCAGCTCGAGGACCAGTGGCTCACGGAGGTGCCTAAGAATGCTGGTGCGTACGACGATGCTGCCGATGTCAAGGAAGAATACGCATTCAGATTAACATCTCGCAGACATTGATCATGACCCGTCGAAGGTCGCCCGCGACGAGCGCAAGGCCCGGGTGGCGAAAAACGAAAAGCAGCGCTTGGCTAACCTTTCACGCGCACAGCAGAGTTCAAGCTCGAGCACTGCACCTGCACCGTTGGTGGAGCGCAAGAAACAGATTGACAGGACGCTTGCAATGACACGAAAGAGTACAGCTAGTATGGGCAAATTTGACAAGACGCTAGAGGGCGAGAAGAAGCCAAAGGGCATGAAGCGGAAGGTGCGTCTTTGCAACGCCAATCGTGGGCGAATACAGATTTACCGTTTTCTACGGTCCTCTAGTTCGATGCGACGGAGGTGTCTGCTGCTCAAGAGAAGTCCCGCGATCTGGCAATCCTCTCTAGGCTCGACAAGGAGCCTGCCGCAAAAAAATCCAGCAAGTCTTCCGAGGGTGGTGGCGACGTGCTCAACGTGAGGAAGGCCATTCGGTCCGCAAGTAAGGGCAGGGGGAGCGCGGCACTCGCCCGCGAAGGAGCGAAAACAAAGGGCAAAAAGGGGAGAAGATAGTTACCGGCCGCTTCTACATTTTGACCTCATGCTTCATGACATCGTGTATTATCTCACCTGGGTTCTCGCAACCAGAATGGTTCATGCCAAGATCTAGTGGATAACCTCTGACATTGTCAAGTATATACTGACAATATGAAGACATAGGCGTCCATCCATGAGACACACAGGTTCATCCCTCAATGAACCCCGAACAGTCCAGAGCCATCACTTGGACGAGTTGTCCACCGGCAGCCTGTCCAAGGATGCCCTTCCATCCTTGATCCACTCCTCCTTGACCAATTTCTCCTTCTCCGCATAGTACAACCTGTACACGAGCTTGATAGTACCCTCGCTGACACCCGCGACTGAGCTGATGTCGCGAGCGGGCTTCACCTTGCCAAGTAAATGGCAGGTAAAGTATATTGCACCGCCAGCAATAGATACTGGCGAACGACCGTCGGCGATGCCCAACTCGCGCGCCTTCTTGATGACGTCTGCACATATGGGCTGAACATTGGGAGGCAAATCGAGGTGGTTGCAGTAACGGATGAGCAGATCCTCTGGGCCAGTAGTGCCGCTTGGGGTGCTCGAATGCCGGTCCTGCGATGCTCCCGGTGTCAAGTTGAAGGCCTGCTCCAGCGCCTTGTAGCACTGGCCAAGGACCTTCTTGCTCACATGCGTGAGGTTGCAGATCTCGCGGAACGTACGGGGGACATGCGCCTGTCTGCAGGCGATGAAGATGCATGCGGCGATGACCGCATCGAGCGGCTTTCCACGAAGTAGCTTCTCCTCGTCAGACCGTTTATACAGCTGCTTCGCGATATCGGAGATGGTTTTGGGAAGTGAAAACTGGTCGCACCAGTTTGAGATGTCACGGAAGGCCTGGAGTAGGTTCCGTTCCGACCGGGACGCCGAGGATCGCGAGGCGGCTCGCTGAAGCTCTCGTGCGAGACCGGAGCCCCCGTCACGGAAGGATATGGTGGTATCAAGCTGCTCCATGCCATCCATCAACGGGTCGGACGCAGCACCAACACGCGACGGGTCGTCGCCTTCGTCGTTGGCGAACGTCTAGTAGGTGGTGAGGTAGGCAAGGCACGTCAAATGGAAGGCCACGCCAGATACTTACCCGCCATTCACTCCTCGTGTCCACAACCCTGTCACCTAGCACCAAGCCACATGTGCCGCAGACAAGGTCACCGCTGCTAAATTCTTCGACGATATTGGGGTTTGGGTCCCGGCATTCTGGACAAATCAGTCGAACAGCGAGGTCGGGGCCAAAAGTAGGCTGCTGGACTTTCTGCAGAGGCTGAGCAAGAGGAAAGGGTTGAGCGTAGGCCATCTCAGGCTGAAGAGATCCCCGAGCTTGCAGGAGACGAGGAGTGGATCAAGTTGCTAAAGGAATGCAGATGTTTAAGAAGCTGACTCGAACGAGAGCTGCTTGCTACGGCTCATATAATCATCTCCGGAAACGCTATGGCGTTAGAACCTACCGGTAATGCACAGAGTAACCACCACGAGACTCTATGGGACGTGAAGGTCGACGAGGAGGGTGCGTCGACGATGGAGATGATGACCGGGGGAGGGAAGGTGCGTGAGAATTGGCGGGCTGTCGGTGGCGGGTGGATAAGCCACGGATTTGTCATAATGCAAGGGCTTATCTGGGGCCGGATAAGGCAAGAGGCAAACAGAGCCACATAGAAGGGCCGGAAGCTGTGTCCGGCAACGTCTCTACAGCCTTCACATACCGCCGCACTGTATTTCTCCGCAGTTCCCTCACCACCATGGGTCGATGGTCAGCTTCGCCCACTCTTTCGCTTTATTCTCTTCTCGCTGAACGCTCCCTTGTAGGACGCTGGAGCACCACGACGATGTCCTTCTCTCCAAGGTCAAGAATCTGGTGTATGTCCGCCACTTCTGTAGATGGCTCTCGCAGCTTATTTTGGTGAGACAGGATGGGCGCGGTCAAGCGTTCAAAGCTCGAAAAAGCCGAACCAAGCATTAGCTATGAAGCCTTTGTGCAAGATCTAGACGAGGGTGACTCTTTCACAACATCACTTGTCGAGGCGTTGGTCAAGGTGAGCCTTTTGGATGCCGTTGCCATGTATTCGAGTTTCATCGCGTCGTCCGGATAGGAATTGGCTGACCGCAGGATTCGCCAAAATCCAAAAGACCGTCGAATTTCTTCACGCACAGCGTCCTTCCTGCGCCACCAGATTTACCGCGACAACCTCTATTCGACGCGTACAGCATCGAGGACACGACATGTATTCGCACGCCCCGACGAGCTACACTCGTCCTCAGGCGAGGATGAATATGGCACTGTTCCCGAAGGAGCACGTGTCAATTCCGAACTGTACGATGCCTACAACGCCTCCTCCTTTGACATTCTCAGCTCGCTCCGCTCCTCGGATCCGTCTCCTCTGGCTACTGGCACTCCCATCGACTGGGCAGAAACTGACCCGGAGGCCATTGTTGTAACGAGTCCGCGACCATCTTCCCCGCCAGTACTTCCTTCCTTTGCTTATCGGACCATGCACTCCAGCGCTCACGGAAGCAGTAACGTCGGATCTAGCTTACCACGGCAGAATTCAGTCCGACGGCCTGCTCGCTCGCGGACGGTCGACTTCAATGAGTTTACGTCCCTTCGCCGCTCAAGTTCTCGACAAAACGCAGAGGTCCAGGATGGCACCGAGGATGCAGCGGACGGATCATGGAGATTCGACACGCTCGATTACTCGGCAAGGCGAGGCGAATCGTCTGCGGACAGGTCACCTCATACTCAGCCAGCTAGGCGATTTTTTCCCTTCCGGTCGGTACCGGTAGTTCGTCGCCGCTCGGAAGTTGGTGGCTCGTTCCCCTGGGTCGGTGAATTGACGCATACACACGGTCCCTCAGACACCCCTTGGTCACACAGTGCGAGCACCGCAACCCCTTGGCCGACTCTGGCGAACACATCCGCATCTACGACATCCCCCCCGCCTAACCCCCTCAGGCCCTTGAGTTCCTCCGAAATCATGTCCACTCTTCTGGCATCAGCACCCTCCCACACAAATATTGCTCCGCGATCACATTCTAGGTCCCCGTCGCCCGTCTTGACAGTTCGGCCATCCTCGAGTTCTCTGAGTCTCCTGAACGATAGGCGGCACACCGTTGCCCCGCGGCTACGACGTGGTGGCACCCAGCCACCGGAGGCTATGCTTCCAATGCACGTGTCTCAGTCAACTGAGATGCAGCACGCGGAAGCTCAGGCCAACATGGCGGTGGAGCCTCAGCCCACGCCTGCGGTAGCTGAGCATCACGCTGAGGCCCGGGCGATGTCCTCCCAAAGTACCTCAGAAACTCCGGAACCGGTTCCTGGAGTCGTATAGGAGGACACGACCACCGTCTTGGAGGTGCTGTGCAGCTTATAGACTAATTATTGCGCACAGGTGCTGAGCCAGCACAATGGCGCTGCCTGGAATGGGGACAATCATGGCTTCTTGTGGGACGCACGCCTATGTGTATGATCACGATCATGTAGAAAAAGTTGT